GATGCTAGAAACAGCCCAAAGGTGGACCTACCTTTCGCTAGCCGCTGTTTTTCTCTGGAAGGTTGTGTACAAGACGTGGAAGCACAGCAAACCAGTTTCCTCCTTCGTGCACCCCCTCCACACACCGGCAGAGAAGGTAGAAACACCCAAGACCAAACGTGGGGATCCCTTCCATATGGAGTAGAGAGTGGTATGCAGCGTTTTGGGGGAAAAAAGTAATGTAGTAGGGTATACTTTCTGTACCACGATTTCCACGAAAAGCAGTTGGAATAATGCAAAACGGGCCTAGACAAGTTAATGACTCCATTCGCCTTTGCAACCCCCAGCCCGCGACTGCATCTGCAAAAATACTAGGCGAGCTGTTGAGGGTCTACTCTCCCTAGCCCTGTGGTGCAGGACCCATAGAACCTATTCTCGCCCAAGGTCAGGAAGCAGCAATTCTACTTCTCTATCGTCTTTCTTTTCCGATATAGGCGTAGTAGCAGATTTTGCCGAAGCGTGCACAGAAACGGTTCCCCGCACCAACCGTAGGGCGTTCTATTCCACCGGCGTCCGGAATCGTTTCTCATATCTTTGTAGCAGACTGGAATCGTTTCCCCAGTCGGGGATCGGTAGCAACAACAGCCGGTTCTTCCTTTGTATCTCGCTACAGCAAACTTTTGCACATGTAGACTCCTTCTGGGACGTTCGCGGCTTTTCGGTGTTCGCTGCACGGAGGGGTGCTACTTCCATATCCTTGGTCGCCATAGTTGGGCAATGGGTATGCCAAATATTGCCCCGTCCCTGTGGTACCTCTGCTTCCCGATAGCTGCCGGAAGATACAAGACTCTTTCTCCTTGCACGGACAACGGTCGACCAATTTGCTGGCGAGGAGTGCATACCGTTATGCTCCAGAAAGCACAGGCGCTTGTCGCACAGGTTCTCTACATTTGGCGTAAACAGCTGTTGACCACGATCTCTTCGGGAACCTCGAGTGGAGTCGCTCTGGGGTGTGTAGTCTATCGCTTTCTTTTCCCAGAGAACACATTTCTTGCTGTCGACGCAGTGGTCGATGGCGCACTTGCACGTAGAGTTGTCGGGTCCAAAGAGAGCAGGCAGTTCGATAGAGTGGCGAGACAGTCGGTGCATTGGTTGTGCCTGTCCTGGGACCCGGATCGCAGTCATCGGCGAGAATGATTCGAGTTTGCCCGCCGAGGGTCGAAATTGGTGGGGTGGGTAGATGTAGACGAAATCGACTATTTTGCCGGCTTCTACTAGTGGGCGAAAGCACAGCAAATAGAGTTCGAGAAACTGTTTGGGGATCTGGTAGCGTTCGTAGAAGGTGTGTCCCGATTGCTCCAGGATTTGTTTCTCTCGGTCGGAAAGCAACATGGGGCGACACTTCTGCAGCAGGGCCTCGAAGTCTTCGGATATGTCGGGAGTTGTCGTCGTCTGGGGCTTGTCTATACCACCTCGGATTCGCGTGTATCGAGCTTGCGATATGTGGTACTTCTCTTCGCTTCCCGAAGGGACAAACGACCCGATCGGATCTCGGTATAGGCTTCGCGCGAGAGCTTGGTTCCTGGCATATTTCTATATCCATGCACCCACATAGCTCTAACTGGGAGTGCACTGCACTGGAAGCAGCCGAAAGTGGTCTTGTCGAAGGGATTGGGCAAACACTCATTTTCACCTAGGCTGGTAGCAGAATTAGCCCATATGGAAGCTTCTGAGCAAGGTGTACCTATACAGGTTTTTCTTATCATTCCCCCTACTACTCCCCACCCTAGGCCTACCCCATCCCACACCCTCTCCCTCTCACACATGCACACACACTCCCTAACATACATAACGCTCTAGGCCCAGTTGCTCAAAGCACCGTTATTTTAACATACCGTTAAACACTAACGACTCGTTAAATAGCTAACGAAAAGTTAGTTAAGAGTAATTTAAAATTTGGTTGCTGGAAGGTAATTTTAACAGGGCGTTAACTAATGTTATGATTAGAGTATAACAGCCTGTTAAGGACCTAACCATCACCCACAATTCATTGAACACTGTCCCATGATTCCCTGTCAAAATGGCATCGCTATCAAAAGCACCTGAAATGATCACATCAGTAACATCTGACTGTAAGAAAAGAAAAAGAGTAAAAGATTTCAGCACCAATTAAAAATGTAATTCAGCCAATGTATCAAGAAAATGCTGAAATTTTAAGTTAAAAAATCAGCAATGAGGTTACAAATAGGGCCAAGGCTCCCATCTGGCAAAAAATAACAGATGCGGTAAACAATTAAAGGCGTCTGCTGTCGTGATGTAGAGCAGGTGAAGGAAAAGTCGGGAAACATCGCCCAAAAAGCTAAAAAAGACATTTACTTACTACCAAATGCAGCAAAGGAAGACTAGGGGTGGACAATTCAATGAACAAGACAATTCCTTTAAATATGTATGCATGTACATTTCATAAAATCATTTCATTAATATTATCAGTTTTAATGAAATCGCTGTTCATTAATATGTTCATATGAAACTGCAATATTAGTCTCAATGCATTGAATATCAGGAACTAAAGTGCATGTTGCAGTTATGGCTAGGCTGGATCTTCTAACACTTGTGTAAAGGTATACAGTATAGTATACTACACTAAATGTGTCCATTTCCTATGTAAATATTATTCAAACAATCAAAAACGTTCAAACAATACGCAAACGTATACCCTATAATCCACGTATGGTATGATATTGAACAAGGCAATGAAATTAGTATTGAAGAAATATCTGAACAATACGCAAAATATACATCGTAATACTGAAAGTGTAATCGGAAGGATAAGGGCAGTTGTGTTAACTTTTGTTCAACCGACCTTCACCTCAAAGAATTGCCTAATATGTACAACAATGTTGACACGCACACTATCTATATAGCGGAAAGCGCACTTCGGCGTTCGGGTTAGTGTATTTCCGAAAACATCCCAACCAAATTCATCGGCAACGTTTCAGAATAGTCATTAGTGATTTTATGGAAAACTGATATCAGTGAAAATTAATATGCAATTTTGAAATTCAATAATTAACCGATTTTCAAATTTCAAAACATACAGCAAATAACGCTGTAAATCGCGATTTCGTATTGTGTCGAAAATGGCGACATCGACGATGAAGCCTATTTTGAAACGTCTTTTACAGCACTTTAGGTTTGTCTGAGATAATAGCTGAGGTATCAAGAAACAGGGAATTTCCCCGCAGAAAATTCAAAACTATGAATTATATTTGTGTGCGTGATATATTTAGAATTTGATTGGACTTCAAAGTGAATGTTGAAGAAGAAGGACATATATGTCCCTGTGGCACCCAGGGGGTTAAACTCAACAGAAACATTTCTGAATTCCTTAGATTTTCTTTGTGGTCTAATGTTCATGAATGCTGCATTACGCTGGACAATAAACGCCATGTTGTCACCATGCAGCCAGGTGTAGAACTAATGCTAATGGTAACGTTAGTGAGCTAATGTACCACCTCCCCTTACGTTAAGTAAGCGTGGTCTTAACGGGCCGTTAAAGGTTAATGGCACTTTGAGCAACAGGCTTTTGCTCTCTCGACGTTAACGGTTCATTAAAATGTAACGGGCGTTTGAACAACTGGGCACTGGCCCATAGACCCGATATTTGAACGTTTCAAACAGACATCATGTGTATGTCAAAAGAGACACGCACATTAATAATGGTGCTCAGTCATGGGTATCACTTCACCATGTGTTTCTAATTATCTCAGTACATTATGGCCTGGTCGGACGCGCTAACGAACCCTATGTGACAGTTATATTACAGAACCATTGAAATACATGTTAAAGTAGGGTCAATCTTGTAACACTCAATTTACCCATTACCAACAATTTACGCATGTACTAAACATATGACAAACCTAACCCTGGTCGTACGAGATTTCAAAGGTATTAAAATGCATGTCCTATTATCACAGCATTTACATAAGTTACACATGCTAGAAAACACATGAAAACAATGACCAGATTTACACACCTGTGAAATACATGTAAATGCAGAGTTGAGTGTTCGTTTATTTTAACACCCCCTTAAACGTGTGTACATCTGACAGCCAGATGATACATAGATTTCAAACGTTTGTTCATATGGCCGCCGGTTGACACGTTTATTTACTAACTTAAGAAAATTTGGGTAAAATAGTCATTTCGTCTGGTGATCGCATTTTTATATTTCATGTCGAGGTTTAGGCAATATGTCTTTAACTAAGACGTCACGGACTCCCCCTGTTTGAAGAGGTCATACAGTGATTCACAATTCATCTGGCTCACTGGTTACAACTGTTATAGTGTATTTTTGCAACGTACACTGTGATTGATATAATATCAAGTCCGTACCAGACCGCCAAACGTTTCTAGCGGCCGAGCCTCGTTTTGAGATTTCCACGCCTTTTTTAGATTTCCGTTTGTCAGAGCTAGCTGTAAGTTTGCAAGGATAAGAAAGGGCGTAGTGTTGCAATATACAAGTGATAAGATGTATTAAATAATACAGATTATTTTTTATGTATCTAGCTGAAAGAGTTGGTCTCAAAGTTATGGACTGGTTATTGTACTAAGTTGCGCAATAGGACGGAACCCAGTCAGCAGGAAACGAGACTGTTGTGTATTAAATCAATGTTTGGGATGTTATCGACAATATCTGGAAACAGGCCGTCCCTTGGTGTATTCGTGAAACAGTTCATACATTCCTGCAATATATGTAGCTGTTGTGAATACAAAACCGGTAATATATTAACAATGTTCGCAAATGAGTGAGTGAGGTTTGGTTTACTTAGCAAACAATAGTGCAGCAACATCACAACAGGAAACACTGGAAATGTGCTTTGTTCAGTTTATCGAATTGGGGAGTCTAAACCGAGCTAGATAACGATTTAACCCAGGACTATACCACCTTTCCTTGAGTCGGTACATCTACTCTATATCTTGTGGCAATCCCCCTGGTTGTAACATGCTGTTGTTTCCAGTTTTCAGTTGGAATACTGTGGGGTAATGAAGTGTCTGAAAAAAGAAACTTCTTGTTCACTGCATATGAACGTCAGGATCAACCCAAAAAGAGCCGTTTGATTATATATCTGAACACTATGGACGGCTCTCGAGTGCGACTGGACTGTTGCATTTTTATCAGAAACCAAACTCGTTTACGGACACAAACTAAAGAGATATACCGATATGGAGGAAACGCTCATTTTCACGCAACAAAGTATAGCTGTTCAGTCCCCGCAGGCACAGACGTTGTCAGCGTGTCTTTGACGCCTTCTACATGTAGCAACAACATGTCCAACTACGTCCCAATCAGAAAACCTGCTCAAGTGCCTGGTGGCCTGGCCATTTGTGCGAAGACTATTTTTGGAGAGGCGTTGAGGCCGCAGCGCTTAGTGGAATGGATAGAAATTCAAAAACTGCTCGGGGTAGATAAAATATTAATATTTGATTTGGACTGTCCGGAAAATATCCGGAAGATCCTAAACTACTATACACGTCAAGGGATCGTGGAAGTACAACCCCACAAGTTGCCAGGGAAAATTGAAGGTGATGTTATCCTGATGATATGGTAATGATAGTGAGTGAATGAGTTTAGATGTACGCCGCTTTTAGCGATACTACAGCAATATCACGGCGGGAGACACCAGCAATGGCCCTCACACATTGTGTCCATATGGGGAATCGAACCCGGATTTACGGCGTGACGAGCAAACGCTTTAACCATTAGGCTACAGTGGTTTCCCAGATAGCATCGCCTTAAATGACTCACCAGTTAACGCGAATGCTAGAAACACATTTTTTTGACAGTGTCTTTGCTTGAGCACCTCTGAGTAATTTGTTGGAAAAGGGTGTAATATGAATATTAACTTGATTATAAATGAGTAATCTGCACCACTCTTCCTCCACATTTAAGCAACATGCCGTGACACAACTGGAGTCCATTTGAAAACATCAGTGTAAACACCAATTACAATTATGGATTATTTTAATAGGTGTTCGCTTCCGAGACCTGTCGGGACATCGTCACAACCACGATAGTCAGTTCGACAATGATGACAACTACCCGTTGATAGACTGCAGAGATCGACTGTCCGGCTATGACTGGGTCATCAACACCGATGTGGATGAAATTGTACTTCCCAGAATAAACATTACTCTGAAATCCTTCATTAAGGTGAGCAAAAAAAACAACCCTTCATCCATTTCATATTGAAGACTTCATTGATGAAGATTGTATTCAGTCAGTCGTTATTTCGTTTATTGAACATTGTAATGATGTGGTTTTCTACGTTCACACTGAACAATGTATTTGGAATTTACTTAAAACTAACACGAATCTCTCCAACGTTTGCCAGTTGCGTAGATCGATGCTCATGAAGTTGATCACTGGATTGTCTGGTCCCGACTCGGGGTTGCGATAGCCAACCAACAAACTATCAAGGCTTTCAGTCGCTGACAAACGATCCTAAGTATTTGGTGGTGTTAGCATTGATTGAACACCAGCTTTCTGCATGATAGACACCCAGCAGAACTTACGCAACCTCAGCTTTCTCCATGATAGACACCTAGCAGAACTTACGCAACCTCAGCTTTCTGCATGACAGATACAAAGATAAACTTACAGAACCTCAGCTTTCTGCATGATAGATACCTAGCCGAACTTACGCAACCTCAGCTTTCTCCATGATAGACACCCAGCAGAACTTACGCAACCTCAGCTTTCTGCATGATAGATACCTAGCCGAACTTACGGAACATCAGCTTTCTGCATGATAGATACCTACCTGAACTTACGCAACCTCAGCATTCTCCATGATAGATACCTAGCCGAACTTACGCAACCTCAGCTTTTTGCATGATAGATACCTAGCAGAACTTACACAACCTCAGCTTTCACTTACTAGATGATATATACCTAGCAGAACTTACGCAACCTCAGCTTTCTGCATGATAGATACCCGACAGAACTTACGGAACCTCAGCTTTCTGTATGATAGACACCTAGCAGAACTTACGGAACTTCAGCTTTCTGCATGACAGATACAAACATAAACTTACAGAACCTCAGCTTTCTGCATGATAGATACCCAGCAGAACTTACGCAACCTCAGCTTTTTGCATGTTAGATACCCGACAGAACTTACGCAACCTCAGCTTTCTCCATGATAGATACCCGACAGAACTTACGCAACCTCAGCTTTGCGTAATGTGGTTGCGTAATGTGGTGCGCAATGGTAGGTCATGTTAAAACAGTTCGAGCAAAGAGTTGACAGAAAACACAGGTTGATGATAGTTCCATTGATAATGGTAAGAATTACGTGTCAAACAAGGGGCAGTCTTTTCTCGAATGGGATAATAATTATGTTTGGTGATTGCAGGATCTGTTTGCTCGGGAACCGCTCGCGGCAGGATTCTATTTTTACATAATGTTCCACTACACCAGCTGGGGTAAAACAAGGAATCACTCTTCCGGAATCGAGCACTTTGACTATTCCAGATCTACCCGACCACTTTGGAATGCGTACAAGTACGCCTACATTCCTCACAGAGTAAATGTACCAATCACTCACAATGTGGACCCAAAGTCTCCCTTCACAGTGTAAGTATTGTTACAGCGTCCTGCTTTGTTTCGTTTCTTTGTTTGTTGACAACATATGACAAACAGTCTAGACCTGATAAGCCAGTCGTTCGCTTGTTTTTTTTTGCAGGTTTGGGGAGCATAGGATAAGACTCGTATGCATCACAAAAGCGCCACAAGAGCTATAAGTTGTAACAATGAATCGTGTTGTGACATGTAAACACAACAAATTCTTTTTGAATATTTATTACCCCTTTGATACTCACCTTCCTCATACAAAAGTGTGCAGTCTGTAGACTTGCCCCTGATCAACCACTATCCTTGTACTCAAGTATCCTTGCTTTCAAAGTGCAATGTGTGAACCCATCTCTCATCACTGTCTGTTCATGTGCAATGTGAAAATCCTTTTGTCATCCCTGTGTTTTCAAGTGCAGGGGGTGAATCCATCTCTCATCACTGTGTGTTCATGTGCAATGTGTGAATCCATTTTTCATTACTGTGTATCCATGTGCAGTGTTTGAATCCATCTCTCATCACTGTCTTTTCAAGTGCAATGTGTGAATCCATCTCTCATCACTGTGTATCCATGTGCAGTGTGTGAATCCTTTTTTCATCACTGTCTGTTCATGAGCAATGTGTGAATCCATTTTCAATGTGCGTCTATGTGTATAGATCCATCCTCATCACCACATGTGCAGTGTGTGAATCCATCACTGTGTGTGATAGTGCAATGTGTGAACACATCTCTCATCACTGTCTTTTCAGTGCAATGTGTGAATCCATCTCTCATCACTGTGCAGTGTGTGAATCCTTTTTTCATCACTGTCTGTTCATGAGCAATGTGTGAATCCATCTTTCATTAATGTGCGTCTATGTGCAGTGTGTAAATCCATCCCTCATCACTGTGTTTTCATGTGCAGTGTGTGAATCCATTTCTCATCACTGTGTGTTCATGTGCAGTGTGTGATTCCATTTCTCATTACTGTGTATCCATGTGCAGTGTGTGAACCCAACTCTCATCACTGTGTGTGATAGTGCAATGTGTGAATCCATCTCTCATCACTGTCTTTTCAAGTGCAATGTGTGAATCCATCTCTCATCACTGTGTATCCATGTGCAGTGTGTGAATCCTTTTTTCATCACTGTCTGTTCATGAGCAATGTGTGAATCCATCTTTCATTAATGTGCGTCTATGTGCAGTGTGTAAATCCATCCCTCATCACTGTGTTTTCATGTGCAGTGTGTGAATCCATCTCTCATCACTGTGTGTTCATGTGCAGTGTGTGATTCCATTTCTCATCACTGTGTATCCATGTGCAGTGTGTGAACCCAACTCTCATCACTGTGTGTGATAGTGCAATGTGTGAATCCATCTCTCTTTACTGTGTGTACATGTCCAGTGTCTGAATCCATCTCTCATCACTGTGTGTTCATGTGCAGTGTGTGATTCCATTTCTCATTACTGTGTGTCCCCATGCAGTGTCTGAATCAACCTCTCATCACCTTGTGCTCATGTGCATTGTCTGAATCTATCTCTCATCACTTTGTTTACATATGGTGTGTGAATCCATCTCTCAACCATGAATATTCATAAGCAATATTAGAATCCATCTCTCATCACTTTGTGTCAATATGCAATAAGAAAATGGATCTCTCATCACTGTGTGCCCAAGAGCTATATGTGAATCCATCTCTCATCACTTTGTGTCAATGTGCAGTGTCTGAATCCATCTCTCATCACTGCGTGTTCATGTGCAGTGTGTGATTCCATTTCTCATCACTGTGTGTTCATGCAGTGTGTGAATCCATCTCTCATTACTGTATGTTCATGTACAGTGTGTGATTCCATTTCTCATCACTGTGTGTTCATGTGCAGTGTCTGAATCCATCTCTCATCACTGCGTGTTCATGTGCAGTGTGTGATTCCATTTCTCATCACTGTGTGTCAATGTGCAGTGTGAGAATCAAACTCACATCACTTTGTGTGTCGTTATGCTATCAGATAATCCATCTCTCATCACTGTGTTCATGTGCAGAGTGTGGTTCTATCTGTAATCACTGTGTGTCCATGTACAGTGTCTGATTCCATCTGTCAATCACTGTGTATTTATGTGCAGTATTTGATTCCATTTCTCATCTCATCTCATCATGTGTCCAGTCATCTTTCATTACAGTGCTTCCATGTGCAGTGAGTGAATCCATCTCTCATCACTCTGTGCCTATGTGCAATGTGTCATTCATTTTCTCACCACCGGGTTTCAATGCGCAGTGTGTGATTTCATCTCTCATCAGCATGTGTGCATGTGAAATGTGAGAATACATCTCTAATCACTGTGTGTCAATGTGCAGTGTCTGAATCCATCTCTCATCACTGTGTGTCCATTTGCAATGTGTGATTCCATCTCTCATCTCCGTATGTCCACATGGAATGAGTGAGTGGATCTCTCATCACTGTGTCCCCAAGTGCAATGTGTGAATCCATCTCTCGTCGCTGTGTGGTAATGTGCAGTGTCTGAATCCATCTCTCATCACTGTGTGGTAATGTGCAGTGTGTGAATCCATCTCTCATCACTGTGTATTCATTTGCAGTGTGTGAGTCTATCTCTCATATGTGAATCCATCTGTCACCACTGTGGATCCATGTGCAATGTGTGAATCCATCTCTCATCACTGTGGATCCATGTGCAATTTGTGAATTCATCTTTCATCACTGAGGATCCATGTGCAATGTGTGAACCCATCTCTCATCCCTGTGGATCCATGTACAATATGTGAATCCATCTCTCATTAGCGTGCATTCATGTGCAGTGTATGAATCAATCTCTAATCACTGTGTATCCATTTGTTATATGTGAGTCCATATCTCATTAATGCGTGTTCACATGCAGTTTGTGAATCCATCTCTCATTACTGTGTGTCCATGTGCAGTGTTTGATTCCGTCACCCATCACCTTGTGTTCATGTGCAGTGTGTGATTCCATCTCTCATTAGCATGTGTCCATCTGCAATGAGAGGAGGGATGTCGCATCACTGTGTATTTATTTGCAGTGTGAGTCCATCTCTCATATGTGAATCCATCTCTCATCACTGTGGATCCATGTGAAGTGTGTGAATCCATCTCTTATCTCTATGTGTCCATGTGCTGTGTGGCAATGCATCTCTCATGACGATGTGTTCCTGTGCAATGTATGAATCCGCCTCTGATCACTGTGCGTCTGAATACAATGTGTGAAGCTATCTCTCATCACTGTGTGTGATAGTGCAATGTGTGAATCCATCTCTCTTTACTGTGTGTACATGTCCAGTGTCTGAATCCATCTCTCATCACTGTGTGTTCATGTGCAGTGTGTGATTCCATTTCTCATCACTGTGTGTCCCTATGCAGTGTCTGAATCAACCTCTCATCACCTTGTGCTCATGTGCATTGTCTGAATCTATCTCTCATCACTTTGTTTACATATGGTGTGTGAATCCATCTCAACCATGAATATTCATAAGCAATATTAGAATCCATCTCTCATCACTTTGTGTCAATATGCAATAAGAAAATGGATCTCTCATCACTGTGTGCCCAAGAGCTATATGTGAATCCATCTCTCATCACTTTGTGTCAATGTGCAGTGTCTGAATCCATCTCTCATCACTGCGTGTTCATGTGCAGTGTGTGATTCCATTTCTCATCACTGTGTGTTCATGTGCAGTGTGTGAATCCATCTCTCATTACTGTATGTTCATGTACAGTGTGTGATTCCATTTCTCATCACTGTGTGTTCATGTGCAGTGTGTGAATCCATCTCTCTCATCACTGCGTGTTCATGTGCAGTGTGTGATTCCATTTCTCATCACTGTGTGTCAATGTGCAGTGTGAGAATCAAACTCACATCACTTTGTGTGTCGTTATGCTATCAGATAATCCATCTCTCATCACTGTGTTCATGTGCAGAGTGTGGTTCTATCTGTAATCACTGTGTGTCCATGTACAGTGTCTGATTCCATCTGTCAATCACTGTGTATTTATGTGCAGTATTTGATTCCATTTCTCATCTCATCTCATCATGTGTCCAGTCATCTTTCATTACAGTGCTTCCATGTGCAGTGAGTGAATCCATCTCTCATCACTCTGTGCCTATGTGCAATGTGTCATTCATTTTCTCACCACCGGGTTTCAATGCGCAGTGTGTGATTTCATCTCTCATCAGCATGTGTGCATGTGAAATGTGAGAATACATCTCTAATCACTGTGTGTCAATGTGCAGTGTCTGAATCCATCTCTCATCACTGTGTGTCCATTTGCAATGTGTGATTCCATCTCTCATCTCCGTATGTCCACATGGAATGAGTGAGTGGATCTCTCATCACTGTGTCCCCAAGTGCAATGTGTGAATCCATCTCTCGTCGCTGTGTGGTAATGTGCAGTGTCTGAATCCATCTCTCATCACTGTGTATTCATTTGCAGTGTGTGAGTCTATCTCTCATATGTGAATCCATCTGTCACCACTGTGGATCCATGTGCAATGTGTGAATCCATCTCTCGTCACTGTGGATCCATGTGCAATTTGTGAATTCATCTTTCATCACTGAGGATCCATGTGCAATGTGTGAACCCATCTCTCATCCCTGTGGATCCATGTACAATATGTGAATCCATCTCTCATTAGCGTGCATTCATGTGCAGTGTATGAATCAATCTCTAATCACTGTGTATCCATTTGTTATATGTGAGTCCATATCTCATTAATGCGTGTTCACATGCAGTTTGTGAATCCATCTCTCTCATTACTGTGTGTCCATGTGCAATGTTTGATTCCGTCACCCATCACCTTGTGTTCATGTGCAGTGTGCTGTGATTCCATCTCTCATTAGCATGTGTCCATCTGCAATGAGAGGAGGGATGTCGCATCACTGTGTATTTATTTGCAGTGTGAGTCCATCTCTCATATGTGAATCCATCTCTCATCACTGTGGATCCATGTGAAGTGTGTGAATCCATCTCTTATCTCTATGTGTCCATGTGCTGTGTG